GTTGCATAGCAAAATAAACACTTCAAGTTCTAGTTTCATCACTTGTACACCTTTGCTAATTGCTTAACTTTCTAAGCTTCAGTCTCCTCACTTAAAAAAAGACAAAAGCTTGCTCTCTTTGATGTTTAAAGATATATTAGAAGTAAACAGGAATACACCCAGTAGAAAAAAGAGCAAAGGACAATTGATAATAATTCACAATAAACATATTTTAATAGTCACCTTTACTAGGAATAAATTTAAATAGCAGTACAATACTTTTTTTCTGCTGTTAAAGGACTTTTTTAAAAAAGCATAGCCATGCGAGTGAGGCAGGGGGAATGGGAGCTCTTCCATTTTTGCTGGTAGGGATGCAGCTCTCTGGGTCAAGAGTTTTATTAATAAACAGGTTCATCCCCCAATCCAGTAATTTTCATTCCCAACAGTCTCTCCTAGAGAAATAATCAGCTGTATGGTAGCAATATGCATACATCGATAACATTAAAAGCAAGCAAAACTCTAATAGTAAAATGATAAATTGAATTATGGCTCATACTGTGGTAAATATGGTGTATCAAGAGGAAAACATGTGAAATGTAAGTAAAGCAAACACAGCAGCGTAAATGTAGAGGAAAATGTAAAGCTAAAAAATGGGAAATAGTGTATATATATTTTAGGTGACATTTTAATGGTAATAGCTAATATATTTATGTACCATTTACTTTGTGCAGGGAGGTATTCTGTTTTGCCTATATCTTAACTTGTTTAATCCTCCTAACAACCTCTGAGGTAGGTGCTATTATTACCCCCTTTTTCCAGATGAGGACACAGCTGTGCTATATGATTGAGTTCCTGCGTGCACAGCTGGCTGGGGTCAGACCAGGCTTCCAGGCAGTGTGGCTCCAAAGCCTCCACTGCACAGACCACCTCTGTTATATTAATTCATCAAATATTGAGGGTCCATTCAATGCCAGTCACTATTCACCACTGGCACCTGACCCTGACAAACATGTTTATTGCTCACGAGGATGTTTATTCTGGTAGTAGGAGACAGAAATTAAAATCAGATAACAAATGCCACGGAAATCATTAAAACAGGCTGAGCTGTGGACAGTGATTTGGTGGTTTCTGTGGCGCGTTTGGCCAGAAAGACCTCTGTGAGATGGAGCTGTTGGAGGAGCCATCCAAAGGACAGAAAGGAACCAACTAGTGATTAGAGGAAGGCACTTCCAAGTAGTAGCAACAGCTACTGGATTTCCTAAGGTGGCTGGAGCACAGAGTGCAAAGGCCAGGTTGTGTAGAGCTTGTTAAGCCCCTGGAAGGAGTTTAGATTTTATGCCAGTGTGTTAGAAAGCCTTCAGAGGGAGAATGGATTGTGTGTGGCACCAGCTGGAAACAGCAAGGCTTTTGCAGTAGACAAGGGGAGGTGATTGTGTCTAGACCAGGGTGGTAATTGTAGAGAGAAGTTTGGATATGATTGGAAAACAAAGCTGGCAAAGCTTCCTGGTAGATGAGATGTGATGAATGAGGGAAAGAGAGGAATTGGAGAGGCGAGATCAGGACTTCAGCTTGAGCCCATGGTATGCATCTGTTGTTTATTAGATATGCAAGGGAAGGTACCAAGTTGCTAGTTGGCTTCATAAACCTGGCATTCTGTGAGAGGCCAAGGGCTAGGGATGTAGGTTACATGTGGATAACTGTGTTTCCCACATGCTTAGGAGAAGGATGGATAAAATAATGCAATGAAATATTAACAGTCAAGATTACAAATGATTTTAAGTTCCTTCTACTTTCCTCAGTGAAAATTTGTTACTTTAAAAATCACACAAAACCAACGATTCCTTTCCCTAAGTCTGGTAATATTTGAATAATTTTTAGGAAACTAAGTTACAAAGTCACAGTATTTATAAAAGCAGAATTGGCATGGGGTAGAGATATCAAAGTGGATGGTTCACTTTAATACTTTGTACCAGGGTTACATTTGACTAAAGAGAATATTATAGTCTAACCTTGGTTCTGCCACTAAAATTATGTCCTTATAAGTTCTTTTATTCATGTATCTATTCAACAAACATTTATTGAATATTTACCTACTATGTGTCTGGTATTATTCTAGGAACTAGGGATATAGCCGTGATTAAAATCCACAAAAGTTGGCCAGGCGCGGTGGCTCACGCCTGTAATCCTAGCTCTCTGGGAGGCCGAGGCGGGCGGATTGCTCGAGGTCGGGAGTTCGAAACCAGCCTGAGCAAGAGCGAGACCCCATCTCTACTATAAATAGAAAGAAACTAATTGGCCAGCTATTAGAAAAATTAGCCGAGCATGGTGGCTCATGCCTGTAGTCCAGCTACTCGGGAGGCTGAGGCAGGAGGATCGCTTGAGCCCAGGAGTTTGAGGTTGCTGTGAGCTAGGCTGACGCCACGGCACTCACTCTAGCCTAGGCAACAAAGCGAGACTCTGTCTCAAAAAAAAAAATAAAAAAAAAAAATCCACAAAAGTCCTGCCCTCAAGGAGTTTTAAATTCTAGAAAAGGAAGAAGTACCCCAGGTACATGCAGTTGTCTATGATGTGGCCCTGCATGTCCCTTGAGGCCAGCAGCTGCGGCCTGTGGGCCAAATCGGGCCTTCTACTTCATTTTGTATGGCCCATGAGTTAAGAATGGGAAAATTTTAATGAATAAAAATATTTTTTAGCCAGGTGCAGTGGCACATGCTTGTAGTCCCAGCAACTTAGGAGGTAGAAACAAGAGAATCACTTGAGCAGGAGGTCAAGGCTGCAGTGACTGTGATCATGCCTGTGAACAGCCACTGCACTCCAGCCTGGGTAACATAGCAAGACCCCATCTCAAAACATACACACACACACACACACACACACACACATATATATATTTTAAAGAATAGTGTTTCATGGTATATGAAAACTGTATGAAATTCAAATTTCAGTGTCTATAAATAAAGTTCATTGAAACACAGCAAGTTCATTGAATTATTTATTATCAATGACTACTTTCACATTACAGTGACAGAGTTCAGTAGTTGTGGCAATGACTGTATGTTCTGCAGAACCTAAGATATTTGCTACCTGGCCTTTCACAGGGAAAGTTTGCAAAGCCTCAGCCTATCTTGTGGACACCTCTCCTTCTGACTCGAGTCTCACCATCCTTTGCCATAGTGTAACACTCCCCTCCATCTGCAGGTCTTTGCACAAACTGTTCTTTCACCTGAACTTTCCCCAGCACATCTTCTACCACTTGGCTCAGTCCTCCTCATCTATCAAATCCCAACTCTAGCTTTATTCTTCCAGGAAGCTGTCTCAGAATGCTACAGTTTGGATGAGGCATCTCTCTCGCCTTCTCTCACCCTCCTCATGTCTACATCCTGACTTCCCTCCTGCCCAACCAGACTCTATGGCTAGTCATTTTCCACACCTTCTTTGCTGTGCACTCACCTCCTTTGCCTCTCACTCCTTCCAGTGTTCTCTATAGAACCCCAACCTGATTAAGGACTACTCTCACCCAGGCCTCAGGACAGTGGAATGCCACAGCCCGACTACATACTGGACGTTGCTTAAGAGGTACAACCACAGGCCAAAGCTCCTGGGCCACCCTGGAGTCCAGCCCTTACCTGGCCCACCTACTCTCCTTCCTACAGGCCACACGGACCTCTCTTCACCCCTCCCAGCAACCCCTCATCACAGTTGCCTCCTCAGAGAAGCCTTTGTGGCTGTTATGTCCAAGACAGGCTTTCCTCTTGCAGGCTCTCCTCTTATAGTGCTTCATTTTTTCTTCCTAGCATGTATCACTACCTAATATGTATATTTATTTATTTGATATTTTCCCACCAAAACAAAGGCTGTGTGATGGCAGGAACTTTGTCACCTCTGTTCACTGCTAAGCCTCAGTTTCTAGAATCATATCTAACAGATTAAACACTTGCTGAAAGTATGAATAAAATAAAGGAGGTTTGTCAGGCTTCATCATCTAAGATTCTGGGGGCTCAGTGTTGTCATAGCCCTGGTTTTAATATTTCTTTCTATACTTGGATTTCAATGGTTATAGCTCCATTTTAAAGCTGGTTTTCCTCATGGTAGAAAAGGACTTTGACAATCCCAAGCTTTGTAACTACATCCTACATGAGAGGTTGGCAAACTTTTTCTGTAAAGAGCCAGATAGGAAATATTATAATCTTTGTGGACCATGCATTCCTATTGCAGCTACTCAGCTCTGCCACTGTACTGTGAAAGCACCCATAGACAATTTGGAAACAAATGAGCTTGGCTATATTCCAATAAAATTATTTACAAAAGCAGGCAGCAGGCCAGATTTAGCCTGAGGTTGTGGTTTGTTGACCGCTTCCCTATGAGCAAGTGGCCTTTCTGGTGGCTCTCTCAGAAGAACGAGGAGACTTTGTTTTCCAAAGTTCCCAATAGCCCTCCTATTTTAGATTGTTGACCTGAATTTTTTCTAATACCTGGTAGTGAACCAATTCCTATGGTAAGTGGGGTGACACTATCTCACTGGTATACTCATAACTCACTCTCAAGTTACTGGAGACAGGAGCTTCCCACCCTGCCTGGGGCTGGATGATTACCAGCACAAAAGTGTACCAATCAGGAAGAGGGCCTGGGGAATGAATGCTAGGTAGGCACCATATGAAGTTTGCTGTGTAGAGTTGATCACCGTGAGTTACAGTATGTGCTCATGCAACTGCTGTCCTCCTAGAATGTAAGCCCTTGAGGTCAGGCCCCACACTGTGATTATTAGTGACCCAGTTTGCACTTTGTACAGCTTGAGTTCAATTATGTTGAAAGAGGCAAGAAGCCTTTGGTCATGTGGATTACTATAATTTTGTTTGTTTTGTCAGGATTTAATAAGTGTATGTGATCCTTTATCAGCCACATACATGACAGGAAAAAAGTACCCTGTAGAAAATATTTTAATTTGTTTCATTGTTGATTAATATGTTTTCTAGTTCTTAAGGGATTAAATTGTTTTATTTTTGTTTGTTTGTTTTTTTAAGGTTCACAAAAAGGATTCTGGCTTTTGGCGAGATTTTGGCTTTGGAATGACTTGTCAATATCGATCAGATTTCCTGACCATTGGTAAGTATATCTTACATTTAAGGATAGGGCTTTACATATTTACTGTAGAGATTATGGGATTTTGCTAAAAGGTCTCAGATTTGAGCGTTCTATTAAATTATGTGTCTGAGGTTAGTTGAAAAGAGGAATCTGGAGATATAAAAGGCCAAGTGAGTTTATAATTAATGTCTTTGAATAGCAAAAATGAGGTCATAAAGATAAAATAAAAGTATAATATAATATTTACTTTATTCCTTCAAAATCAAAACACCTATTTTTAAAAACACCTGTTTGACTTGTTACCCATATTTGAAGTTGTTTGGCATATTCTTAGAAAAGATTTCTCTGTAACTTTACTGTTGTGCTTATGGGTGGTTATAGCAGGGAGTAATCTTGTATTAGACTAAGGGCTTTAATTCTTTTTATTTTGAAATGGAAACTCCTTTAATTGTCTAATAAACTGTTATGCAAAATCCTAGTATTTAAGACAAATGAAAAACGAGATGTTCTTTCTATCTCTGATTAAAGCTGGAGTTGGTACTTGGAATCACAGCTTAGTTGTCCATTCCCATCAGCCAAAAGATGGCCCTTGAAAAATCTGGTCTTATCATACTTCTCCACCCCAGCTTTGGTCTCACCCAGCAAAAACTAAAAGTGTCAGAGAATAGTTTAATAAAGCAGACTGAAACTTAATTCCATGTCTCCTGATTGATTGAGTGTTGGCTACTGTTACCCTATTTCCCGCAAACTTAGGCATCTACTAATCTACCTCCTATAGATTTGTCTTTTCTGGGCATTTAATATAAACTGAATTATATAATATGGGGTCTTTTATGACTGGCTCCTTGCACTCAGCATGTTTTCAGGGTTCATCCATGTTGTAGCATGTATCGAGTACTTCATTCCATTTTATAGCTGAAAAATGTTTCATTGCTTGGTTATACCACATTTTGTTTGTTTTGTCAGTTTATAGACATTTGGGTTGTTTCAACTTTTTGGCTATTATGAATATGCTGATGACATAGATTTTCAATTTTTTTGGCTATTTACCTAGGAGTAGAATTGCTGAATTACATTATAACCCTACAACTGACCTTCTGAGGAATTGCCACATTGTTTTCCAAAGTGGCTGCATCATTTTATATTCCTGTCAGCAGTGTATGAGAGTTCCAGTTTCTTCCTCATTAATAAATGTTATTATCTGTCTTTCTGTTTCTAGCCATTATAGTGGGGTGAAGTGGTATCTGATCGTGGTTTTGATTGTAATTTCTCTGATGACTAAGGATATTGAGCATCTTTTCTTATGTTTATTAGTCATTCGTATATCTTGTTTGGTGAAATGTCTATTCAGATCCCCTGCTCATTTTAATTGGGTTATTGAAGTTTGGGGGCTTTTTGAATATATGCACATTAATGTTTTCATCACATTTGGGAAGTTTCAGACATTACAGTCATCCTTCAGTATCCATGGAAGACTGTATCCAAGACATCCCGTGGATATCAAAATCCATAGATGATCAAATCTTCTGTATAAAATGGTTTAGTATTTGCATGTAACCTATGCACATTCTCCCAAATACTTTAAACCATTTCTAGATTACTTATAATACCTAATACAATGTAAATGCTATGTAAATGATTGTTATACTGTATTTTTTTTAATTTGTATTATTATTTTTTATTTTTTTATTTTGGGGGCTTCATCCCCTCCCCACATATATTATCAACCACAGTTGGTTAAATCTGCAGATGTGGAACCCTTGGATACAGAGGCTGGCTTTTTTTCTTTGAATATTTTTTCTGTTCCTTTCTCATTGTTTTCTCCTGATACTATCATTATGTGTATGCTGATGCACTTAATGGTATCCTCCATTTCTCTGAAGCTCTGTTCATTTTTCTTCATTCTTTACGCACCGCTCTGTTCTTCTAATTTTGCATAATCTCTACTGATCTGTCTTTAAGTTGTCTGATTCTTTCTTTTGTTAATTCAGATCTGCTGTTGAGCTGCTCAATGAATTTTTTATTTCAGTTATTATTATACCTTTTAACTTCATAATTTCCATTTGGTTCTTGATATATAATTTTTCTCTTTATTAATATTATCTATTTGATAGGACATTGTTATCTTACCTTTCATTACTTCTTTAAGCATGATTTCTTTTAATTCTTTGGCCATATTTATAATGACTGCTTTGGAATTTTTGTCTATTAAAGCCAATATCTGTGCCCTAACACAAGCAGTTTTTAGTGCTTTTATTGTGATGTGTGGGTCACATATTCTTTCTTTGCATGCCTCATAATTTCTTTTTTGAAAACTGGACATTTTAGGTAATATGTTGTGGCAGCTCTGGATTCTGATTCCCCCCTACCTCTAGGACTTGTTGTGTTTCTTCATTTATTTATTGACTTGACTGTATTATTTTAGTCAGTGCTTTCTCCCCCTGCCCTCTGATAATATGAAGCCTCTGATGTTCTTCAGGACATGTATGACGGTGCTGGGATGGCGCTAGATTTAGCAGGGCTCTCTCTGACTGTCTCCATGCCTCTGTTGCTATCACTCCCAACTGTTAGGCTCTATACTGATTGCTTACTAATTGCTGTCTTGTTTTTGTCAGTGCTCTGAGGTATAAATTGCTCCACAATCTAACTCAATTAAATTGGGCCCTTTTGCAGGGGTAGTTTTTGAGGCAAGTCTTTGAGGTTTCTTCAGACCCTTGGAGGGATCTTCTTAGCTGTCTCTTTCCTGATTCTCTACAGTAAACTAGCTGGTGTGCTGTTAAGCTTGTTTGCCCTCATGGAGCTACCAGCTTCATCTTAATTGCTTGCAATAAAAATCTCCATTATCTTCCTTTTTGTAATTTTTAAATTTTTTTTTAATTTTTATTTTTTTAGAGATGGGATCTCACTGTATTGCAAGGTTAGTCTCAAACTTCTGACCTCAAACAGACATCCTACCTTAACTCCCGAGTAACTGGGGGTACAAGAGTGAGCTTCTGTGCCTGGCTTCCATTATTTTCAAGAGGCTTGAACTTTTCTACACTTTAAATAAAGTCACTTCCTTTGGGAAGAGCTTTGCAGCAGTTTGGTCTTATAGACTGCCTCTTTGGGGAAAATCTCTGAGCTTCTGCTCTGGGGCTAAGCACAGGGACAGTGGTACACTTCTTATAAAGCAGAGTAACATTCCTGCTTTATGAGCAGGGTGTAGGTGCAGTAGGGCCCCCCAGGTTTTCAGCTTGCTGCACCTGGAGTAGAGCCTCCACCCTATGAGTGTGGGCTAGGTAAGAAAAGGAGCTCCACTCGTTTGGAATTTCATTTGGAATTTCTGTTCCTTTCTCTGTTTCCTCTCCTGCTGGTGTGCCCATTACAAATGTTACACCTTTTGTAGTTGCCCCACAGTTCTTGAATATTGTGTTCTTTCTTTTCTCAGTCTTTTTTTCCTCTTTGCTTTTCAGTTTTTGAAATTTCTATTGTCATATCCTCAAGCTCAGAGATTCTTTCTTCAGCCAAGTCCAGTCTACTAACGAACCCATCAAAAGCATTCATTTCTTTTTTTCTTTTTAATTTTGAGAAAGGGTCTCTCCCTCCCCTCCCCCTTCACCTCCCCCTCCCCCTCCATCCCTGGCTAGAGTACACTGGTGTGATCATAGCTCACTACAACCTTGAACTTCTGGCCTCAAGCCATCCTCCCTTCTCAGCCTCCCAAAGTGTTAGGCTTCCAGGCATGAGCCCCACTGTACCCAGCTACATTCATTTCTTTTATGGTGTTTTTTTATCTCTAGTATCTTTTTAATTCCTTCTTAGAATTTTTATCTCTCTACTTATATTACTCATCTTATATGTTCTTTCCATTACAGTCCTTAGAATATTAACCGTAGTTGTTTTAAATTCCCAACCTGGTAATTCAGTATCCTTGTTGTATCTGAATCTGGGTCTGGTGCTCTGTCTCTTTAAGCTGTGTTTTATCATTTGTTTGTTTGTTTGTTTGTTTGGGAGTTTGGGGGAGTTTTTTGCCTTTTAGTTTACCTTGTAATTTTTTTTGTTGAAAGCTGGACTTGATATGCTAGGTAGAAGGAACTGCAATAAATAGGCCTTTCGTGATATGGTGGTAAGGTGTGAAGGGAGGTTAAGTGTTCTGTAGTCCTGTGATAAGGTCTCAGTCTTTTGGTGATCCTGTGCCCCTGGATGTGAACTTCTCACATTCTTCTCACTCTCCTATCCCTTGGCTTTCCCTCCTGGACAGGATGGCTGGGAGGGGCTGGAGCTGGGTATTTCCCTTCCTCTAGGTCAGCTAGGCTCTGAGGAAACCCAGCAAGTTAGGCTCTAGTTGAACAGTTTCTTCTGAGGTCAGGCCTTATTAATAAGGAATGAATCCTCTGGCATATATCACAATGATTACCTTTTCTCCCCCTCCCTGCTGCTGGAAGCATTAGGGGATTTTTTTCCCCCTGATCTTCACTATTGAGAGCCTGACAGAGCTCCTAGAGGTAAGCTCACAAGAGTGTGGAACATCTCAATATGACTGGGTCCCCCTGGAATTTTTAACTCTTAGGCTTGCCTACACTGAGCTTCCAGCAATTTGTCAATTACAATTCAGGTTTTCCTACCCTGGTTGGTTCCCACAGAGATTTCTGCTCAAGAGCTATTGATTTTTCATCTTTTTACTTGTTAGGATGGAGCGATGACTTCCAAGCTCCTCACATGCCTCGCCAAAAACTGGGAGTCTCCCATTTTTTTTAAAGTATCTACACCATCTCTGTTATTTGAAGAGCTTGTTGACATCTTGTAGGGAATAAGAGCTGAGATGAATAGGCGTAGCATTTAGCTCTGATTGTTTAATACTTTTTGAAGATCTCAGGATTATTGTCCATCCTGTGAATGTGAAATTAAGTGGGATAGAATTATTTGACAGGAGACATAATTTAGAAGCCTAGCTCTTAAATAATTATTTTTTTACAGTTTTTAAGAATCTTTGTTCTGGCTCTTCAAAAAATTCCAAATGGTTTGTGTTCTCCATGCTTCTTTTAAAAGTTAGTTGCTCAGCTTGCACCCAGTTTGAAGTGGTCTCCCTCTACCTCGCCTGTCATGTCATCTAGTTAGCCTTCTGCCCATAGCTCTACCAGAATTGTTCTAGGTAAGGTTTTAAGTAACATCTATGCTGCCAGGTCCATTTAGTTCTTTTTAAGTTCTTGAGTAGTACACACCTGACAACTTCTTCCTCAAGACACTTTTTTCACTTGACTACTGTGATGGCTCCTTCTCCAGAATTTTCTCCCTCATCTGGGGTCACTTTTCAGTCTGTTTTGCTGACTTATCTTTCCTTGCCTCTGTTTAAATAAACTGGCATTTCTTAGTGTTTAGACCTAAGCCCTGTTTTCCTTCTAAACTTCTTCAATAATTTCATTCATTCCCATGGCTGTAAATCATCTGTGTGCCCATTCTCAATTTTGTATCTCCAGCATGACCCATTCTTCTGATTTCTCCTTTGGTAAGTTTTCTGTAACCCAAAAACTTTGTGTCTAGAAGGATAGAAAGAAAATACAATAAAATATTGATGGTGGTGAGATTATAGGTGAGTTATATTTTCCTCTCCTTTATTTGACTTTCTATAGATTTTCTGTATAACTTTGAAGTTTACAAAGTATTTTCAAATATTTAATCTCATTTTGATATGCTTGATGACTGACCTTGAGCTTCTAGAGTCTAAATGTCAGCCTGTAACTGGACTTCAAACTAGGAAGTCACTCTTTCACATCGGGTGTCTTTGTGTTATACCATGCCATCTCATTTGAAGCAGAACATGTAAATCTTTATGATGTTTCCCTGTGCTCTATTAGACAATTACTTATAATATCAATGTTGATCTTGCAGGTGGATTTGACATGGAAGTAAAAGGTTGGGGTGGAGAAGACGTTCATCTTTATCGAAAATACTTACATGGTGACCTTATGGTGATTCGGACTCCAGTGCCTGGTCTTTTCCACCTCTGGCATGAAAAGCGCTGTGCTGATGAGCTGACCCCTGAGCAGTACCGCATGTGCATTCAGTCCAAAGCCATGAATGAGGCCTCTCACTCCCACCTGGGAATGCTGGTCTTCAGGGAGGAAATAGAGACGCACCTTCATAAACAGGCATACAGGACAAACAGTGAAGCTGTTGGATGACATAATCATTAACACATGACAGTCTGAACAACAAGCCAGTACTGTTTATTTAGCCTTAATTCCAATTCCAGATGCAGTGCCTCTTTTAGAGAAGACATGTTTATTTTTCACGTTCTTCTTGGCATTACTTTACTTTAGCATTTCAACTTAATCTGAGAAGAAAAAACAAGTGTTTCAGCACAAAGTCTCTGTTTTGTGAGAATACTGCACCATGGAATAATTGACAAATTGAAATCGGATATTTGTTCCAAAAGTTGTTTTGAGTTAGTTTCTGCCTGGTGCCCATGTTCTGACTGCATGTGGGATTCAGTGTCCTGAGTGCATTTGGGTGGAGAGAGGAGATGTGCTGGGCTGATGGTGAGCCAGGAGCAGCACACTCCTACAGAGGGGACAGAGTATCGTGGACATAGTGTGTGGACAGGTATCTTCACCTGCCTACCATTGTCACCCTGCTTGATTTTTAAATGAAGGGCTTTGGTTGATAGCTTGAAAAATTTCACTGAAGCAGGGAATAATTAAATGACACATCTGAAATCCTCCATCAGAGAAGGCAGAAATCAAAACCCCTTAACTTAATGTTGCTTATCCCCCTGAATGTTTTTAAGCAAGTGGGTAATAGTAGAAAATAGAATGATTAAAATTAGAATATGTTATTGCATTATTATCATGTTTAGGATTAGCAAAGTTGCTGTAGACTGTTTTGAACAAACAAAAAAACAGGAAAACATTTGTAACAGAGTATTTAATTATGGTGGAGCACAGGATACTAGCTGTGTCTGGAAACATCAATTTATGTGAGCCAGCTACATCAGGGCCTTCCTGTGGTGGTTCAGAAAAGATGAACATAGCATGTTTTTTTTTGTTTTTTGCTTTATATTTTCTCATTTAGCATAGATACATATGTATTTATTATCATTTATTTTTTAATATGTTAATATATGCTGTATCTGTATATGTATTATTATAATACTTTGAGTTGAAAGAGTTTCACTGTGGGGAGAAAACACAATTTAATGAGTTATCCATCGGATCATTCTGATTTGAAAAATGGGGAGGAGAGGAAGGTAGTCTGAATGGAAATCTGAATTACAGAATATTTTAGAGAAACGTGTTGCTTGCATATAGAATATTTTAATTGAAATGTAAATTATATTGATGAGACAAGGTGAATAAGAAATTATATTCAGACAGAACTGTACTGTATTATTTATCACACATGGTTTTTTTACTATCAGGTCAATTGCTAGGTCCAGAAATTGGATATAAGATGGAAGACATGCATAAATTTTTCAACCTTTGGCTTTTAAAAGGGACCTATATTGAATTCAGTGTGTACATAAACCCCTGGGAATTCACAGAAGAATAATTTTTCATAGTAAATAATATCTGAAATATTATAAATTTCTAGGTGCTACATGAATTCAATTTTATAATAACTCTTTATTCTTACAAGTTTTAAGTTAGGATAGTATTTAGGGTTTTTCTTAAGATATATAAAATGTTCTCTGCAAAATAATTCATGCCATTGTCTCTTTTTATATACAATTATTTATTTTGAAGACCAGTGAATTATAGTATTTAAAGTGAGAGAACTTAATTATTTGCAAAGGTAAGTTGCAGCTTGTTTTTTGAGAGAATCAAATGATAATTTTGTTCCTTTTTTTAAAACTAGCTTTTAATTTAAAGATGGAAGCTAAGGAATGGAAACATTTCTATGTTTTTGACATTAAATAGTACCAATAAAGTATTTTATTACAAAAAGTTAAATGAGAATGTAATAAATTTTATTATATTGTAAAATATCATAAATACAGAAAATATATAACATGTAATTGTGTGCTTTTTTTCTTTTTCATTTTCTTTGTTTATTTCTTTGTGTTTGTTTTTTTTTGAGACAGAGTCTTGCTCTATCACCCAGGCTGGAGTACAGTGGTGTCATATGCCTGGGCTCAAGCTATCCTTCCTCAGCCCCCCGAGTAGCTGGGACTACAGGTGCATGTTACTATAGCTGGCTAATTTTTCTGTTCTTAGTAGAGATGGGATCTTGCTCTTGCTCAGGCTGGTTTCAAACTCCTGAACTCAAGTGATCTTCCTGCCTTGACCTCCCAGAGTGCTAGGCTTATAGGTATGAGCCATCATGCCTGGCTGTAATTGTGTTCTTTAAAGAATCTTATACCAGTGCACCAGCTGCCCATATTAAAATATGAGGCATTACCAGTGACAGGCCAATGTGCCCCTTCTCCATCACATACTCTCATTCTGTCCATGGTAGTCACTATCTGATTTTTGTGATAATTTTTCACTTGCTTTTCTTCATATTTTTCTCAATTGTGTATGTATCTCTACCTAAGATACCGTTTAGTTTTAGCTGTTTTTGAATTTATATGCATTATTGTATCCTCTTTCATTTAGTGTTATTTTTGAGGATCACTTGTGTTAATCTCAAAATCAGTTCATTTTTACTACTGAATAGTATTCCATTGTATTGCAGGGATAGAAAAACTCCCCTCCATCTTCTTAGGGTTCCAGCTGAGTCTGAGAATTCAATTGGCATAGCATTGATTAACAGGAAAAAAGCATACAGATTTATTTAATACAAATTTTATGTGATACATAGCCCTCTAAAAGAAATGAAGACCCAAAGAAACCTTTAGAGTCGGTTACTTATATACTGAATTGGACAAAGAATAGTAAACTGAAAATATGACTAAGTTATGTGGGGAGGCTTAAAATATAAGGGTTACTCTAACAGAGTCTGGACAATATTCTCTTGGTCTCAACTTCTCATCATTGAAGATAAGGATGTTGCCTGTCCTTCTAGTATAGTGAGTATCTTTCACATGGGAATTCCTCTTCTGCTCTTAAGAAACAGCACAAAGGTCAAAGTGATCTTTTTGCACCTGCTATTTCTCAGGTGTCTTTAACATAAATAGTAAACATGTGAGAATAGCATATTTTAACCCCTTCAGTATAAATATACTATGATATTAATTCTACTGTTGGTAAATATTTTTGTTGTTTCCAGTTTTTTTGTTATTCTATTGTGGGTAGCTATTTGAGTTGTTTGTAGTTTTTTGTTGTTGTTTTTGTTATTAGAAGCAGTGGTGTCATGAGCACCATTGTACATGTCTCTTATAAGTGTGCCAGAATTTTTCTAGGAGTAAAAATGCTGAGCTAAAATGTTGTATGCATGTTTAACTTTCCAAATGAACCACCTTCTAGCACTGAGTGAGAGTTTACTTTGCATCCTTGACAATACTTAATTATGTCAGGCTTATTAATTATTCTTGCCCATTTAGCAGGCTTTAGGCATGAATTATAGTTATAATTTGCATTCCTAGTCTTTTTGCCCATTTTTACCAGTTCATAGAAATTCTTCACATATTCTGGATACTAATTCTTGTTGGTTAAATGTTTGCATATATCTTCTGCCAGGATGTGGCTTGTCTTTTTCCCATTCTTGATAGTAGTCTTTGATGAATAAAAATTAACTTTAATGTAACAGTCTTTTTTCTTTATTATTTCTACTTTTTAAAATAGAATTTATTTTTTAGAGCAGTTTTAAGTTCACAGGAAAATTGAGCAAAAGGTAATAGAGTTTCACTGTATCCCCTGCGCACACAAATGTAGTTTCCCCCATTATCAACATCCCCACCACAGTAACAAAGTTGTTACAGTTGATGAACCTACATTGACCAGTCATTATCACCTAAGGTCATAGTTTACATTAGGGTTCACTCTTGGTATTGCACATTCTGTGAGTTTAGATAAATGTATGACATGTATCTATGTCATATACAATAGTTTAACTGCTCTAAAAATCCTCTATCCTCTGACTATCTTCTTTCTCCCTACCCCCTGGCAACCACTGATTTTTTTACTATGTCATGTATTAATAGCTGGAATCATATAGTATGTAGCCTTTTCATATATTTGTCTCTTTCACTTAGTAATATGCATTTAAGTTTCTTCCATGTCTTTTTATGGCTTGATAGCTCATTTCTTTTTGGCACTGAATAATATTCCATTGTCTGGATGTACCACAGTTTACCCATTCACCTAATTGAAGGGCATTTTTTCTTTTTTTCTTTTTTATTTTGAGACAGAGTCTCACTCTGTTCCCCAGGCTAGAGTGCTGTGGCATCAGCCTAGCTCACAGCAGCCTCAAACTCCTGCAAGCCATCCTCCTGCCTCAACCTCCCAGGTAGCTGGGACTACAGGCATGTACCACTATGTCCAGCTAATTCATATATTACTAATATATGTTTTTGTATTAGTTGGTTCAGCTAATTTCTATTTTTTTTTTTTTTTAGTAGAGATGGGGTCTCACTCTTGCTCAGGCTGGTCTCAAACTCCTGAGCTCAAAGGATCCTCCCACCTCAGCCTCCCAGAATGCTAGGATTATAGTCGTGAGCCACCACGCCCAGCCTGTAGAGCATCTTGATTGCTTCCAAATTTTGACAGTTATAAATAAAACTGCATTAAATATCCATGTGCAGGTTTTTGTGTGGACATAAGTTTTCAACTCTTTTGGGCAAGTAACAAGGAGCACAATTGCTGGATTGTATGATAAGAGTATTTTGTGTTTGGTAAGAAACTGCCAAATTGTTTTCCAAACTGGCTGTACCATTTTGCATTCCCACCAGCAATAAATGAGAGTTCCTGTTGCTTTGCATCCTCCCCATCTTTTGGTGGTGTCAGTATACTGGACTTTGGCCATTCCAATAGGTGTATATTGGGTCATTGGTGGTTTTAATTTGCATTATCCTGCATTTAATTTGCAGTATCCTGATGACATATGATGTGGAGCATCTTTTCTTGTGCCTTATTTTCCATCTGCATATCTTCTTTGGTTAGGAGTTGGTTACTATTTTTTGTTATTGATTTATGACCTCATAATAGGGAAGGATTTCTTAAAGATAATGTTGTATATTACCTTCTGAATATCTCCTACTTGGTTTTGCTTTTTTTTAGTTAGGTCTTTAACCTAAGTGGAAGAGATTTTTCAGTACGATGTGAGGTGTAAGGATTGCATTTCACTTTTTTCCAGCACTGTGTCCATACTTGACCCACCTATCTGCAAAACCAGTCTGTCATCCATCAGATGTCCCTACATGCCTGGGTCCAATTCTGGGCTTTCTCAGTTCCATTCAGTTGTCTTTTACCACACCATTGCCACACAGTTTGACTTACCATAACTCTATATAAGTTGATACCTGAGATACTTTGTCTACTTCATAGCCTTTGTACTTTCATATACATTTTAAAATAAGCTTGTTAAATTTCACAAAAACTTTTCTGAATTTAATTGGAATCTCTCAGCTCTCTATAAGGTCATTTGGGGAGAATTGACATGCTTGTATTTATGTTATGACATGTGCCAATCCTGGAACATTACACATCTCTCTGTTTAGGTCTTTGTTGTCTTTCAGTTAAGTTCTATAATTTTTCATTATTCATGTATTATTTTCTTCCTAGGTACTTTGCCTTTTTGATGCCATTTTACCTGTCCTTTTATTGTCTGTCGTTGGTGTTTAGAAATCATTGATTTTTGCGTGTTAATTTTTGTGTTCAGAAACCTTGCCAAAAACTGTTAATTCTAATAATGTATTTTTAGTTTCTTTTGCATATTTCCTGTTTATATGTCTATATCATGTACCTATGAGTAGCGAAAGTTTTATTTCTTTTCAATTTTTAAATCTTTAATTTCTTATCTTCCTATGCTGGTCAGGATTTTGCTGTGCAGTGTTGATGGAAGTAGTAATAGTGGGCTCCCTGCCCATGCTTCTGATTTCAAGTGCAATACTTTTCAGTGCTTCATCAGTAAGTGTGGTATTTGCTGGAGGTGTTTTTGTAAATACCCTGATTATCAATTTAAGAAAGTTCCTTTTAATTATTATTATTTTTTTTAGAACATAAGACATTTTTATTTAAGAAATCTATTTTTTAGCATCTAGACAACCTTTCCTTCTCTCCCAGAACTTCATCCAAGTGAAAACCACACACACATACTGAGGGAGAGGCGGTACCCACCTACGGAGCCATAAGAGGGTTTGTCAGGAAGTGCAGGCAGCACATAAGAATCAAAGACACATCTATACTCTGAATCATAAAGTTCACAACATTTTGGAGACCAAGTTTCGTAAAATCTTTACTTGAAAAAAAAAATGTTTTACAAAATGTCAGACTTCCAACCAAAGAAACTTTCCCATAGGGTCCACGTAGCTTTCTGCCTTAAAGATTACAGTAGGACATTTAGAGGGGATAGGTTTTTTTTTTAAATAGCCACCTAGCTGCAAAAACCTACAAGAGAAGGAGATTTTATTTTAAAGTGCCTTTAAAATGTGAAAGCAATATAATTGTTGGAACTGTTTGAAATTTTAAAATTTTCTTTAAAATGGTCCGTATGGTAGGCACAACATTACAGCTGGTACAGAACTGCCTGTTTCATCTGAAACACAAAAACAATGCATATGAACAGTACTTTCTGAAAAGTAACTCAAAACGCTGCTACTGCATCATAAGGCAGACTTAGACAAGAATGTTGACCGTGTTCAGAGAATTAACAGAACAAGCTGAATATTGAAGTATTCAAACATTTACTTTGATTTTTTAAATAAAACAGATAAGGGCAGAAGAACCTGTTGCCAAACTAACTTAGGAAGCCTCACTTCCAACAACACGTAACATGTTCTGTTACGTGTGCTCTCAACAAGTGCACCGCTGGGTTTTAGGATGTGAATTCCCATTTCCCAGGCAGGGCCTAGTTTTTCTGTTGCAGTCTGGCAGCTTTGAACTTTGAAACCCTCTTTACAGTTTCTTCTGATGCCTCAGACAGAACTCTCCGTTCTGGAATGGTGGGGAGCGCGATGGCCGGGTGGGGCGCTAAGGTGGGCGATAAAAACTCTTTCTCTATCACCGTTCCAGAGAAAGCCTCGTGCGTCCCCGGTGAGGGCAGGAGTTTCTTCTGGTGGCCGCCCCGCTGAGGCTCCTCCTCAGAGCGCCCTCGCCGCCGTCGCTGCCGCCCCGTCCTCGCAGCTGAGGCTCCTCCAGCTCGGCGGCGCTGCTCTCGCTGGTGTCGCTGCACACGCTGCTCTCTGCTCCGCGACTTCAGGATGGACTTGCGGGGCACGCACTCTCCGTTCACCAGGTCCACAAAGACTCTGTAAATGTCAGCTGGAGTCCTGATGGCGGGCAGCTCCCGGGCCGAGTGGCCACCCGAGCTGCTCTTCCGCTTGCGTTTGGCTTCCTCTTTCTTTTCGCTGAATTTTAAAGTGGTGTTTTTCCAGTATTTATTCGGACCCTCTTAGGCTCCACAGTGTGCGAAAAGTATATTGTTGGTATAGAGTCGTCTCCGAGCCCTGAAGCGTCATGGTCACCGTCACCATTGTGGTCGTCGTCATCATCATCACTGTGATGAGAATCTGAGCCATTCACTGAACAGTTCGACTGACTATCCGTGTGACCATTGAACAGTTCTGAACTTGTCACGCCCTCGTGACAACTGCCGGGAGCGAGCGGGACTGTCACTCGATGAGTCACTCCCTCGTGTGTGCTTCCATCGTCCTTCTCCTCCTCAGAGGAGGCTGCGTCCTCTGCGTTGGCAACCACGGGGTCGGGCTTGCTATCAAGTTCACCCAGCAGTTCTTCTTGTCTCTCCAGCTCTTCAAGCCGAGCCCACAGCTCCGTATCAGCAAGCAAATCTTTGGATTTTACATCATTTTCAAAATCTGCTTCAAAAGTATCTGAAGTTTTTGGTTTGGAATGGGGTTTATGAGCAATTCGGTGTTTTGCTTTAAACTCAAAGTCACTTCTAATTTCTTCTCTTATGTCAACAATATCCCCTGCTGCATCACTCATTTTCTGCAAATCTTCTGTGAATTCAACTCTGGATTCAAAATTTTTCATCACTTTTTTTAAATCATCTATTGTTTTTCTTACATGTTCTTTCCGGTGCTCAACTAAACCTACGGCCTGCTTTGCCGAGCACTTCGCAAACCAGTTGTCCCCGAGTAAAACAGTGACTTCATTAGTGTGCACGAGTTTTCCCGGCATGAAGGCAAACGGGCCGAATGGTACCATAATATTATAAGACAACTTATCAGGCAAGGTACTGAGTCTTTCTCGCAGGGCATTATAGTCATTATCTACCTTCGTCCAATGCTGGATTTTCTCTTGGCAGTTAGTGACCACCTTTTCCTGCTCCTCGTGCAGCCTCGCCGCGTCCGGGGAGAGGCTGGGGCGGGCCCGGCGCGCGGGGCTCGGGCCGGCGGGGCCTGCATGGCGCGCGCGGCCTCAGCGGCGCGAACGAGTCCTGAGCCAGTGCCTGCGGGGGCGGCGGCCCGGCGCCCGCGTGCTCGCCCTCGCGTCCGCGCGCCCGGCGCCCGGGGGCCGCATCTCACCGGCGCATGCCGCCCGCCGCCGCCGCGGGCTGGGAGTGCAGGCCGGAGCGCGACGCGCCGGAGGTGGCCGGGCCCAGCCTGGCGCCCCTTTTAATTATTATTTGGTGAGTTTTTATCATGCTAAGAGCATTTACCAAACACTTTTACTACATCTGTTGAGATGATCATGTTTTTCCCACTCCTTTAATGGGTGTATTAAATTGATGGATTATATTAACAGATTTTCTGAAGTACTCTTGCATTCCTGTGGCAAACTCCCGTGGATCATGATGTATTATTCCTATTTTACATTGCTGGATTTGGTTTGCATATATACATACATATACATTCATTTACATATCTGTGTATGTATTCATGGGGGGGTGTAGGTATGTTTATATTTCAGGTGTTTTTCATCTGTGTTTATGAGTAAGAGTGCCTATAACCTCCCTTTCTCATCGTTAACAGATTTTCCTATTAAAGTTACACTACCTTATAAGTTACAGGTGTTCCTTCTTATTCTGTTTCTAGAAAAGTTTTGTAAAACTGGAATTATTTTTTCCTTGAACAGTACTGACTGAAAAGCACCTGGGCATAAACTTTTCTGTATGGGAGGATTTTTGATCACTGGTTCAATTTACTTAATGGTTCCAGAACTATTCAAATTTTCTTGTTTTTTCTAGAGTCAGTTTTGATTGAGTTCTTTTGGGTAAATTATAATTTTCTTGAAATTTATACTGATAAATATGAAAATTCAGATTAAATGTACAAAGTTGTATGTAATATCCTCTTTATTCCTGATATTGTTTATTCTTTTGTTTTTTTCTTGATCAGCCTTGCCAGGGGTTGGCAAGTATTTTTCAATCCTTTCAAATAACTGACTCTTACTGGCCCCGTATGAGACATCCAGTTGCTTTACATCCTCCCTAACACAGTATTTCCAGTGTTTTTAGTTTAAACTCTTTAATTTTAATTTCTAGTGGGTACAGTCATCTCATTTTGTTTTTAATACATTATCATCAGAGAAATAAATACCTTATCATATGCTTATTGGCATGTGGCTGTCTTCTTTTGTGAAATGCCTGTTAAACTTTTTTGCCTTTTACAAAAAGTTGGCGTATCTTTGTTTTTTAATTGAATATAGTGAGAGTTACTTCTATATCATCGATTTGAGACCTTTGTAAGATTTATATATTGCAAATATCTTCTCCTTGGCAGGGCCTATTTTTCACTCTTTTAATGGCATCAGTTAATAAGCAAAAGTTCTAAATTTTAATAAAAATTATTTAATCTATTTTCTTTCTTTTATGGCTAGTAATTTTGGTGTCTAATTTAAGAAATCTTTGCCCTACTCCAAAATAAAGGAGAAATTTTTGTGGTTGTTTAAGACCCTTCATTACATTTCATATTTAGATCTATGATGTATCTGGAAATAATTTTAGTATATGAATTGCAGCAGGAGTCAAGATTCATCCTTTAGATTTCCTTTTAGTGGGTATGCTGATAGCAAACTCCATTTTATTTATTTATTTATTTGTTTGTTTGTTTATTTATTTTGAGACAGAGTCTCCCTCTGTTGCCCAGGCTAGAGTGCAGCGGTGTCAGCCTAGCTCACAGCAACTTCAAATTCCTGGGCTCAGGCAATCCTTCTGCCTCAGCCTCCTGAGAAGCTGGGACTACAGGCATGCGCTACCATGCCTGGCTAATTTTTTCTATATATATTTTTTTAGTTGGCCAATTGATTTCTTTCTGTTTTTAGTAGTGGTGGGGTCTCGCTCTTGCTCAGGCTGGTTTCAAACTCTTGACCTTGAGTGATCCGCCCACCTCGGCATCCCAGAGTGCTAGGATTACAGGTGAGCAAACTCCCTTTTAGTTTGTCTTTAGATATTTTTATTTTATCTCACTTAAAAAATATGTTTTTGAAGGGTAGAGAATTCTAAGTTGGCAATTGTTTTTAGCACACTGATGTTGTTATACTGTTTTCTGGCTTCAGTTGTGTCTGCTGTGAACTATCAGCACAGCAGTTGCCACTCCTTTGCAGGCAGTCCGCCCTTTCTTTCTGGCTGTCTTCAAGCTCTCTTCTTTCTCTTTGTTCTGCATCACAATGATGTATTTGTGTGTGGACTTTTTTGTCTGATCCAGGCTGAGATTCTCTGGGCTTCCTGGCTTATCTTTTATCAGTTCTGAAAAATTCTCAGCTATTATATTTTCACATATTACCTCTGCCTCAATTCTCTTTCCTTTTATGACTCTGATAACATGTTAAAACTGATATACCCTCCATGTCTCTTAACTTGTTTCTTATTTTCCAACTCTTTCTCTGAGTTAGATTTTAGTAATTTCTTTAGAATTATGACCAAACAGATTTGGGAAAGAACCAAATAGAACATATAGAACTGAAAACTACAATAATTGAATTTTTTTAAGTCCAACAGATGTGTTTAATAAGATTAGACCCAGCTAAGGAGAGATTTTTAAAACTGGAGTATAGGTCAGAATGTTTGCTTTTGCTGGGTACTTTGGGCAGTACAAGTCCAAGGCTATGTTAAACTAAATTCTCAGTTAAAAGTTTGTTAGACCAGTGTGATTTGTGCTGCAAAACTCACCACCTGTGGTCATAAATTATCAGGGGTTAAATTTCCCTGCCTCCATTCAGTGTTAAGCTTAAAAGTAGGCAGTTTTCCTTAACCCCCTTGGAGTTCGGGTAGAGCATTTTATTTCAAGTTCACTGTTAAACAGAGGGGTGGTTCTTTGGGATTCCAGCTTTATGGGCTAAGGTCTCCTATATTTGATTCTTTATCATGAGCAGGCCCTGGACTTTCTTCTTTATCCCCCTTGGACTTGAAAATGGAAGCTCATTGTCCCCTTCCTCAGGCAAAAGCTAGCTTCAGAGCTTCCCTGACTTCTCTGGGCTTCTTCCTTCACTTGGATTTCTTAATTTTACACAACTTTCCTGGTTGTTTTCAGCAGCTGAATACTTAGTCTTTCATGCTGCCAGAAATGGACAGGTGTCTAATTTACTTTATTAATACTCTTCACAGCATTGTTGCAGAACAACTCAACACTGTCCTGAAAATCTGTACCTGAGTGTCCTGGTTCTGTTGGGGTGTATACATGGGAGTGTTCTGGCAGCCCCTCACCATCCTCAGTGTTGTGACTTCCTTTTTGGGAATAAATTATAAATTGTGTTAACATAATCTAACCTGGCCTGTACATGGGTTGTAGGTTTGCCTTTAGAAAGTAGTTTTGAATCTCAAATTTGTGGGGATTTTCTTCCATATCTGTATAGATACTAGTTGAACGCTTAAGTGACTCTTCAGTGATGTTAGTATTAATATATCATTGTATTGACTGGAATGTCAGGTGTTCCTTTGAGAAGGGGACTTATAAGCCTCTGCTTCACTTTTCCCTGAAAGCTGCTGCTTTCTGCAGGACACGTGCTGGCATCATTGGAGTGCCCCCGCCCGGCCACAACACACCGTGCTGCCACGAGCCAGGCGCCACGCTGCTTTGTCTGTTACCACAGCAACCTCATGCGAGAGAGACACCACAGTTCCCATTTTAATCATGAGGAAATGGAGGCTAAAGAAGGTGAGTAGCTTGTCCAGCCATCTCCACCTGGGAACTGGAGACCAGAGCTCAAATCCCAGCATTGCAACTTCACTTCCTTGCCCTTAGTGCCTGTTCTGCCTCCCTGAGGAAAGTGACATACATTTTATGTATAGGTATAGTAGGTGTGTGTGTCACAAGTCATGTTTGTCACAGAATGTATGTCTCTACATATTGGTCCTTAGCTTATTCTGCTATATTTGTTCCGAAACACGTGTGAAGTGTGAGGTGACATTCAGCTGTCACATGGGACTGTGAGGAGCCATACACTGTGCTGGCCATGGGACACAGCCGCATTAAAAGCAGCTTCTGCAAAGAAAGAGCCAGAACTAGCGCATGAGACAGACATGACAGCCCCGCAGGAGATGGGCGAGGAGGAGCAGGTCCCAGGGAGCACGGGGCCACCACCAAGGATGACCTGGGGACTCCTGCAGAAGGAACCAGTGCTTCCAGGTGTGTGAGGATGGGTCACCAGTGCAGATGGGGGCGTGCTGGCGGGTGTGAGGTCAGTGTGCCTGAGGAGGGGCTCTGGGGGGTGGGACAGGAACCCATTCAGAACCTCAGCAGCCAGAGCTGCTCACGGGGGGCATGTAGCCCAGTGCTGTTTCTCGATTCAGCAGGTCTAGGATAGGGCCTGAAAATGCATATTTCAGACAAGTTCCTGGCCCCACAGGAGAACCACAGCCCTGAAGGAACTGCTTGCGGGGGAAGGGTGGCCAAGAGCGCTCACCTCACACTGCTTGGGGTCATGTCCCAGGCACAGTCCAAATGACACGCTGCCCCTTCTTTAGCTGAGGCAGGTGGATACTTCTGAAAATAACTGCACAGGAAATGAAGGATGTCATTGGATTTAAAGACCTAAAAAGTGGTGTTATTCACCCAAAGCTCAAACATCCTCACTGGTGTCCGGGTTTGCTCCACAAACACCTGAGCCCTTGTCATGCACCATCTGCTCCACGGGGCACTGGAGGGGTGACAGGCAGCAAGGCCCTCAGGCCCAGCCTTCTGTTGAGTACAGTGGCCCATCCATAGCTGTTGAGGCTCACATTAGAAACGCAAGTCCTGTCACACTGGCCACATTTCAATGAGAAGTGCCCACGTGTGGTTAGTGGCTGTGGCACTGGACAATGGGGAGAACATTCCCTCCCACAGGAAGTGTTCTGCCGGGCAGCACCTGTCTCACCGCAATGATGGACGCTGAGGCATTATCAGACTTGAGCTGTCAGCTCCAAAGACGCAGCACAGGCTCCTACGAGCTGCATGGCTGGTCGGAAGGTGGTGAGTCATTTCCTGATGGCTCACAGTTCGTTATAGATGGACTCCCCATTACGGACTCTTTCTTATAGACCTGTTTCTCACAGACCCCGTTACAGACTCTTTCCTCCTCTCACCACTGCACTTGTCTAAAAAAGCTGTAACAAGAGAACCTCTGGGCCGGGCATGGTGGCTCACGCCTGTAATCCTAGCACTCTAGAAGGTCGAGGCGGGCAGATTGCTTGAGGTCAAGAGTTCGAAACCAGAAAGAAATTAATTGGCCAACTAATATATATAGAAAAAATTAGCCGGGCATGGTGGCGCATGCCTGTAGTCCCAGCTACTTGGGAGGCTGAGGCAGGAGTTTGAGGTTGCTGTGAGCTAGGCTGACGCCACGGCACTCACTCTAGCCTGGGCAACACAGTGAGACTGTCTCAAAACGGAAGAAAGAAAGAGAACCTCTGGTGTCTTCCAGCCAGGCCCTGTGGACATAGGGATGGGCGGCCTGGAGGAACGGAGGGTGGCTTTCTCTGGTGCCTCAGTTCTTTTCCTTCAACTCCAACTCCCCAGCCCTCTCAGACCCCTCTTCTTCAGTGCTCAAGTGCGGCTCACTGCAAAAGAAGGGGCCCCATCTAGACTGCGATCTGCAGGCTGCTGTGTAGGAAGGTGTCAGCAGGGGCTCCCCCACCCTGCCCCGGGAGAGACTGGCTAGCCCTGCACTGCGGGGGCCCTCACAACCTGGTCTAACTAGGGCTTCCAGACTCATGTGACCGTGTAGTATACACCAGTGATATCTTTTGGGGCTCACATTGAGGAATGCAGGACTAGAACACCCCTTGGGTATAGCTGTTTCTAGTCTTGCATTAAGTCACTGGAAAGCCCTTTGTCAGAATGTGTTGCCCGCTATAGATGACAGCCCCTTGCCCAGCCCCTCCTTGGAAGGCTGTGCCAGGCCTGGCAGCCTCCTCCCACGTCCCGCATGGGCCCGCATTTCTGCACACACACAGCAGGCAAGGCAGGGGAGCGATGTGTTCTTTTATTGATGCAAGTATGTCCAGTCACACCAAAGCTGACATCCTGCATTATGGTACAGCTTTATAATCGGAGTTCATCTCAAAATACCAAAACATCAAATTTAGGGTATGTATCAAATTAGGAAAATAAAGTAGCAGACGTAGACACTGTTTCAAGTAGGTACTAGAACTTACCACCTGTGAAGTGCACGTGGGTGTGAAGGCCCTTTAACACATGTACAGAAAACGTTCTAACACTATATTCCAAATATATATTCTCAAGTTTTAAGCCTTTGTCTCAAAGACAAACAAAGCAATATGTACTATCCATACACAATCTGTACTAGGTAGGATGTGGGAAAGTGCAAACACACTGTGACAATACAGTGTAACTATTCTTGCTCTTGCCCAAGGCCAACTCCTCCCCAGGGCAGCCTGCCCGTCTCCAGGCTCTCCCTGCAGCTCTGGGAGGCGGGACCTGGCATGCGGAGACAGACAAGGGTACTGAGCTCCCACAGGGAGACAGCCTGCCTCTGGCTTTCTGAGGGAGAGCCGTCCCGCCCCACGGTCAGTAAGGCCCAGGGCAAACGCCAGGAGGTCGGCATGGAAAAGGGGTGCGCTCCTCGAGGCTGGGCGCAGAGAAAAACCTCCCAGTGTGGGGCAGTTCTGTCTGCACGGGCTCCAGAGTTCTGGCGTGGCGGATTCTGTGTCTCAGATTCCAATCTGGGGAGGGGCAGTCCACTAGCACACCACCTCTCAAGCTGCTTCCCTCCCTCTGTGCATGGGCTTCAAGAGCAGCTCTACATGTCACTGTCCCACAGCTTGCTGTGCATTCTCTTCATCAAAGCTCATTGACTTTCAAACTGATGACTCCACAACTCCCTCCCTTACATTTTAGATTTCTTCTTTTCTAAATGTAACTAAAGAATGACCTGCCAGACACTTGCTCACAGAAAATATACTGCCAGGTGCCCTTGCCCCTCCCTGACCCCACAAATCCCTGACAAAGGAAAATGAAAATGTAAACTTTGGAAAGCCCATACTCAAAGGGCTTCCAGAAGTGTGCAGATGAGACCTCCGGGCCACTGCCCCGCAGGAGCCTCCAGGCCGGGGCTCGGGAGGGCGGCACCTGCACGGAGCAGGAAGACAGCCCCAGTACCCTCTAAGGCACTAACCCGTCAGAGACACTGGCTGCAGAGGCGTCCGAGCAGGCAGGGCTCGAGTTGGTTTTGGTTGGGTTTTTAAAAATTGTTTTTGTAAGATGTTAATAGTCAAAAGTAGAAAATAAAAATCTCCATTTCGTCAGAGTAAGACGCTGTCGTGGATGCCATCTCCAATGATGCTCTCCCCACCCTCCCCAAGCAGGGCCTGCCCTGCTATTTAAAACAAACAAAAAACTTTGTAAGTGCCAAAGGTTGATGCATGAAATAATTACCACTTTTTTCTCATAAAAGTTATATACAAAACAGACCCCAACCAGTGAGGCCACCTCAGCTCAGCCGTGTCAATCAAGGTTCACACCTGGTGTGCACGCGTGCTCCATCCGCTCCGCAGCCGTGTCGCGCCTCAGGCTCTATTAAGGAGGGTGGTCCTGAAGGAGGACAGGACAGGCAGCGCTCAGGCCCCCAAGCAGGCAGGGGCAGGGCCTGGACCCAAACCAGGGCCTCGGCCTCCTGCCTACCAGGGCCGGGGGCCAGCAGCCTTGCACTGAGGCCCACCCGCAGTTCTCTCCCTTCCCTGCAGACCTGGGTGTTCCTGGAGCGCTCCTACCTGAGGGTCTTCCAGCTGTCCTTTTCCATGTGGTTCTCGGGACCTTCACTTTCAAAGGAGGCGATGAAGAGAGCTGAGAGATGGGGGAGGCGCTCAGAACCCACACCCCCATGTGGCATCTGTGAATACCCGGTTTTCCCTCCCAGGGCAGCAGCTGGGCCCAGGATATGATAGCGACCTCTGGCTGGGCTGTACAGTTCTCTACTGCGTGGGGCTCCCGGGCTGCCTGTCAGGGACCATGGGAAGGCTCCTCACCCTGCAGCGCCTGCCTGACCCTTTCTGGCCCTTCTGAGTGGCCTTGGAGCCTGATCTTCTGTCCTGTTCCCTGCTCACAGCCCACCATCACACTCACTTGCCCCTGTGGGCTGAGCTCGCCCATGTGGTACGGAGTAGCCACCAGGCCACCTCCCGGGCAACCCCCAACAGGTGTGGGCCTGGACAGGAGTCAGGGTGGCACATCCAGGTGGGAGGGCCATGCTGCCACAGAAGCATCCCTCACCTTCCTCACTGTAGATGGGCGCCGTGAGCAGGTAATTCTGAATCTTCTTGTCCTTCTCGAAGGGACACTCTACCTGTGTCCATGTCATGAACTCATGGATCTGTCTGGAGATCTCCCAAAATTTCTGAAAGGGAAAAGACCAACTAATGTTCATCTGTTTCCTTAACCTCCAAACCTTTGGTCAGTGCAGGGTACATGAGTTTTCGCCTCAGTCTGCTGCTCACTTTGCTGGTCCCAGCAAGATAGGACAGTGGCCCTGCATGGCTGAACCCATGCCAGCAGTGGCACATGGTATGGTGTTAGAGCCAGTAGGTGTCCTCCAAGGCCACTGTGTCCTGCCTGGGCCATCGGGCTGGCAGCACGTCTACGCCTCCCTATACAGGGACTGAAGAGGACCCAATCTGTGACCCCGGCCTGAGGCAGGTACCCTGGCCACACCCAGCCCATCAGCACCAACCACAGCATGTCAGGATCTCCCTCTCCAGAGCCTATGTAGGATCCATAGCTCCCACCCTCACCTGTGTGAAGTGGGCATCTAACAGCCATGCCCATCACCTGCCCAGGCACTCCTGTCGTGCCCTCCCGTCCTTGGCCAGGTGCCCTGAGCCCCACCAGGCAGGTTCTTGGCTTTCGTCTGGAATTCTCTGCCCCTGCCTCCCCTCTGCCCAAGGTCCTCCTGGCTCCCAACCCCCAGGGACAGCCCCTCCTCTGTCTCCCTGCTGAGGTAAGGCTGTAGCCACAGTCCTGAGTAAGTGCGGTTCCCTGTTGACTCCCAGCTCTGTAACCAGGTTGTCCACCCAGAAGGGCAAGGGGCACCTCACACATCACAGTCAAGCAGCACCCGACCCCTCCCCTGCCACTTTCAGACCTGAAGGCCCTTCTGACCTTAGGCAGGGCTCGGGAGACCCACAGACCCTGCCCCAAGGCCACAGCCTTGCAGCCACAGTGCATGGCCAGTGTCTGCCTGCCCCGCGTGGTGCTGGGGCGCTGGGAGGCTGAGCTCACCTTGAAGTTAATGTGCCCATTGGGCAGGTGGTTGGTGTGGATTTTGTGCAGGAAGTAGATGTCCTTAACGAAGAGGTTGAACACAGGGATGACGATCTTCTCTCGGCTGCTGTTGGCCATCTGGGACCTCTGCGTGGCGCCCTGCAGGGCCGTGCGGTAGTTGCAGAAGTTGCTGGAAGGGTCCATGTGGTGCTGTGGGCACAGGGAGGCTCTGGTGAATGTCCCAGGCCAGCGCCCCTCATGCCTGCTCAGGACACCCCTCTGCAGGGCCAGAGCCAGTGGACGGAGAAAGGTCTCCAGCGTGGGCGGCCCCAGAATGCGCGCACGGGAGGGAACGCCCAAGGGGACCTGGTTGAGCCCCACAGCCAGGGGCTTCCAGGTTTCAGTCCCAGTGTCTCTGGAAAGCTGGACAAAAGTGTCACAGCCCTACCTGCTGCGCCTACCCTCTCCTTCCTGCCTTCAAAACTTTCCTTTGCTCCTCTTTGCATGCGTATCAACACCTCCGAAACCTGAGCAGCCCCATGACATACAAGTGTTTTGCGAAAAATGGATTCTGGGATCGAATGCATCAGGTAAGGCTGCAGAAGAACTTGTCTGCCAGCCTCTGGGCCACCCAGACATCCAGGCCCAAGAGAAGGTGACCCAGGAAAGGCCAGCCAGGCTCCACTTACTCGCGCAGCCCACCTCACGACTCAGGACCCCGCTTTCGCCAAGCTCTTTGTTAACTGCTCTCCGGAACTTGCCCTGGGCAACGCTCGGTCCACCAGAAGCAGCAACGGCCTAGCCAGGCAGAGCTTGAGGACCACAAGCTTGAAGACAGCAGCGCCAGGCTGGCGGGAGCCGCCGGCGCAGCGCTGGCAAGTCTCCACCCACTGTCAGCACCCCTCCAGGTGGCAGGGCAAGGCTGTGCGGGGCTCCTGCCTACCTCCAAGACGTCGAACTTGGCCGTCTTGACTTTGGACCAGGTTTTCTTCAGCCGTGCCACGGGACTGAGGTTCATGCCAGCTACAAGGGACAGCAGGTAGGGTCAGGGCCATGGAGGCAGGCTGAGGCCCCCCACACTGGGGACCTGGGCACTCACAGATGATGGCCATCATGGAGTTGAAATTCCCCATGTTGAAGCACTCCCGGGCCACGTCGATGAAGAACTCCAACATGCGGGTCCGGTGCTTCTTCTTCACCACCTGAAAGGCGCAGGGTGGCCTCAGCATGGCGCCACCGGGGCACCGACCCTGCTCAGCTTTCCCAGCCGTGAGGAGAGCTGCCTGCCCAGCAAGGCCCTACGGCCGGCGGTGCTGGACACAGAGGAAGCACAGGACTGGGTGTCTGTCAGCACTGAAGGAGGCACCGCCAAGGCCCCAGACATGCAAGGAAGACTTCGTGCATTTACTTTTAAAGTTCCATCACCCAACTTCAGGTGGGGTGGGAGTGAGGGCCTCACAGGGCATGGAAACTCGGCAATCTGTGTTTGCTGAGGGGCATGCTTACCCGGCACACCTCTGTGGCCACCAGCATGCTCAGGCAGTTGAACCAGTTGTCGTAGGCCTCCAGGCTATAGGTCTTGGTCAGGTCCCCTCGGCACTGTGAGGACACAGCAGGTCTCAGGAAGCCTGGAGGACCCTGGTTGGACAATGAAGTCCCCATGGCTAGCCTGGCCCCCCAGGCCGCAGCTCAGCCTGCTTCACGGCAGCCCAGACCACTCCTCGCTGCCCAGTGCAGCGCCAGGCTGGCCCCCGGGCCGAGCCTGCAGCTCCCTGCTGCATCATGTGCACGCTCATGCAAGACCTCTGAAGCAAGTGCCCTCAGGGCCAGGGCCACACCTGCCAGGTCTCGTGGCCCCATGCTCTCCAGAACGTGCTAGGTGAGGCCCACACCCACCCTGCATGGGCCGCAGGCACCAGGCCGGCCAGGCATGTGGCGCTGGCTGGGGACCCAGAGCATGCCACCAGCCTCTGCCACTCACCCTGTGGTTGTCTAAGGAGTCCACATGGCTGATGATCTGCATCAGGTCCTCAGGATGGATGCTGCTGACCCTGTCCTGGGGGTGCGGAGACAGCAGGGGGAGGGTCAGAGCTGCACAGGGTGTGTTGGGAACAGGGGGCCAGCTCAGGGCACAGGCCCTTGGCCTCCTCCCAGGCCAGTCCTCCATCTTGGGGCCACCACGGTCCCCACTGCAAGGCAGCACTGCCCTCGTCTCTCCCTTTCACACAGGGCTGCCATGCTCCCACAGCCCCGAGTACCAGGCACAGGGGCACCTGCTGCTCAGATGGACACGCCGTCTGAGGCTGGGGAGCTGGCTTCCCCACCCATGACCCAATCTGACTATGGGCCCTACAGCATTGTGACAAGAAACACCACGGCCTGGTGGCCCTACACAGCAGCAATAGATAGCCCCCTCCCTGCATGTGGCAGCACTGACCAGCTCAATGTGAGTCAGCTGCTGGGCCAGCACCAGGGGGTCGCAGCACACACCCAGAATGTCCTTCTGGGCGGCTGGTGGCTTGGTCTTGAGGACGGACCCTTTGTCCACAGCTGGTGGCCGAAGCTTCTCTCGCAGTTCCTGGAACTGGCTCCGGGCGGCCAGGGACAGCAACAGGCTCTGTGTCATCTGGGCAATGGCCTTCTTCACCGTGCCATTCTCCTGCGGGAGTTGGGGGTAATGAGGGTGCTGGTGTGGCCCGGTGGCAAAGCCACCACCACTCTGGGGAAACCCATCTCACCTCCAGAGACATGCCTGACCAACAGGAGCCCACACCCCCTAGCCAAACCTGCCATGAGCCTTTGGACCTTGGATGATAGAGCAGAGTACAGCACCGGCTCCTCTGAGGGCCGCTGGGGAGGCTGCTTCTCACTGCCTTCCCACGGGAAGAGGGGCCCCAGAATGGAGCAAGGCATCGGGAAGAACTTCATCCCTGGCCAAGAGCAGCGGCAGCCTGGAGTCCCTGGCCCCTCCTAATGCCCTCTCTGGGCCTCTTAAGCCCTCTGCGTAGACAGGAGCTACTGAGTACATGGAATTTTGGGCCAGGCTTCTCAGGTCCCCCATCTATACACCAAAGGCCAAGGTTGAGATCGGAGCCAGAAAAGGCAAACCCTTGATATACCCCACTCCAGGGTTCTTGCATACAGTGTCACGGGTGAGTCTGGCCAGTCGCTGACCAACTGAGCTGTCATCTAGGGTTGAGAGAGATTGAATAAAGCCACCCAGCAACCCTCTTGGGGGAGTGACAAGGAAGGGGACCATATATAGAGCTGTCCCTGAAGACACCACCCTCCTGAAGGCAGATGCCCCCACCCATCCACATATCCAGAGAGCCTGGCCGGAGCTGAAGGAGCACTGACCTCGTCACACTGGGTGACGCGGTGTGTGATGGCCTTCAGCTCGGCCATGGCCTTCTCGTCCTGGAAGTCATACGGGAAAGCCTCCGTCCACTCCTGCAGAAGCTGCACGATCTTGGCTGAGAAGGACTTCAGCTTGGCCTGGGGCAGCATGGGACAGAGTGAGGCCCCATGGGCCAGAGTGGGCAGGCGGCAAGATGGCAAGAGGTGCAAGCTGCCCGCACCCCAGGGCCTGTGCTGGGCACATCCCCCACCTGTGTGCACCTGCAACTTTGCCACACCTGAGCCACCTAGACTCCTGTTTGTTTCATTCCCCTTAATTCAACTTTCTTTCTCACTGAAATAAACTCATTCTCAAAAATCCTACCCCATCACTGCATAATATAAAAAACTACTTCAATTTGCTATAATTAGTAGTAGCTCTAGTTACCCGGAGGAAAAGCACAATCAAAATCAAGCAAAATGAGGTTAGATGAAACTCTCATCCTCCCCCCTCGGTTAAATGAAGGTTGGCAAGTGCTAGGGGGAGGGAGTGTGCGATCTCGTGTTAGGAAAGACGGCCCGGGCACCCGGTCCTAGCGCGGTCCGCACAGGCCAGGCGCAGGACACGACCGCGTCCATGCGTGGCCCTCTTGGCCACGCCAGCCCCGAGCGCTCCGAAGACGGCCGCGCAGCCTCTGCCCGGGGAGGGCAGGGGAGAGCAGAGCTGCCAAGCGCTCGGCTGCTGCCGTCCCACTGATCCATTCCGGACGCCCCCAGGGGCCACGACCCCTCCTGCACCAGCCAGCCCACCCGGTTCGCCCACGGCCTACGCCCGACTACCCCGCGACCCCGCTCCCGCACCACCCTGCCCCGACACCCTACCCTACGCTCCTGCGCCCCGGCCGCACCGCCTCGGCCCTGCCTGGTTCCAGTCAGACCCCACGCGCCCACCCGAGACCCAACCCACATCCCACACCGCCCCGCCCGACGCCCCGCAGGAACCAGACTCGCACTCCCGCGTCAGGCCGCGGAGCACGCGCAGGGCCGGGCTCACCCAGGGCTTCTTCCTCTCTGGCTCCTCCGGACCCGCAGCCTAGAATCGCACCCCAAGTCGCCCGCTCTGGCTTTTCTCCTCCTGCTCCTCAGGAGCCCTTTCTGACCCCCAGGCTGCGGCCCCAGCCTGACTGGGCCCCTGCCCACGCAACCTGCGGCCGCCCCTCTGGCCACACCGCCTGTGCCAACACCGAGCATGCGGCGGGGCCGGGCACTCGTGGCCTCCCCTGCGACCCTCCCGCGGCAGCAGGCCGGGCGCAGAGCGCCGCGCGGGCAGTCACCCCCAAACACGGTGGGCCCTGCTCTGCGAAGCCCGGGGGGGGGGGGGGGGGCGGGGGGGGGGGCCGCGCCAGCGGCCACTCGCCCTGCGGACCCTGGACCCTCTCCTGCCACGCCTGGCTGCTCCCCCCCTGCCTCCCCCCAGGGCCACTCCCTCAGCCCCAGGGCACCCGCGCCCCCTGCTCTGCTCCCCCCGCTGTCTCCCCCCCCGCCCCGTCCTCCCGCCCGCTCCTCCCCCCCCCTCCCGCCGCGTCCCCCGTGCCCCCCCGCCGCTCCTCGCCCGCTGCTCCAGCCAGCCCGCCCCTTCTGCCTCCCCAGCAGCTCCGCCATCCGCGCCTCTGCTTCCCCAGGCCAGCCTGACCCCGAACCCCCCCTTGCCTTCCCCCAGCAGCCCCGCCCCCCTGCCTCCCCAGGCAGTCCGCCACCGTCCCTCTGCCTCCCCAGCAGCCCTGGTACCGCCCCCCCATCTGCTCCCCCAGGCAAGCTCCGCCCACCGTCTCTGCCTTCCTGCCTTCCCCCAGGCCAGCCCTGACCCCGCCACCCCCTCTGCCCCCCAGAGGCACCGCCCCCCTCTGCCTCCCAGGCAGCTCGCCACCTCCCCCTGCTCCCAGCCAGCCCTACCCGACCCCCCCTCTGCCTCCAGGCCAGCCGCCCCTCGCTCCCCCCACGCGCTCCGCCCACCTCCCTGCCTCCCCCAGGCCAGCCCTGACCCCGACACCCCCTCTGTCCTCCCCGGCGCCCCGCCCCCTTGCCTCCCCAAGCCAGCTCGCCACCGGTCCCTCTGGCCTCCCAGGCCAGCCCCGCACCCTCTGCCTCCCCAGCCAGCTCCGCCCACGTCCTCTGCTCCCCCCAGGCCAGCTCGCCACCGTCCCCTGCGCCTTCCAGCAGCCTGACCCCCGACCCCCCCCTCTGCCTCCCCCAGCCAGCCCCGGCCCCCTCTGCCCCCCGGCAGCTCCGCCAACCGTCCCTCTCCTTCCTCCCCAGGCCAGCTGATACCTCCCTTCCCCCCGCGCCCCGTCTCCTCCCCCAGGCCAGCTCCGGCCACAGTCCTCTGGCCTTCCAGCCAGCCCTGACCCCGACACCCCCTCTGCCTCCCCAGGCGCCCGCCCCCTCTGCCCCAGGCCGCTCGCACGCCGTCCCTCTGCCTTCCCCCAGGCCAAGCCCTGATACCGCGCGCCCCTTCCCCGTCTGCCTCCCCAGCCAGCCCCGCCACCGCTCCCTCTTGCCTTCTCCCCGCAGGCCCCTGACCCCCGCTGCCACCCCTTCTGGCTCCCCTAGGCCAGCCCCGCCCCTCTGCCCGTCGCTCCCCCAGGCCAGCTCCGCCCACCGTCCCTCTGCCTTCCCAGGCAGCCTGACCCGCCACCCCCCCTTCTGCCGTCCCCCTAGCCAGCCCGCCCCTCTGGCCTCCCCAGCCAGCTCGCCCACCGTCCTCTGCCTTTCCCCCAGGCAGCCCTGATACCCGCCCCCGTCTCTCCCCGCCAGCCCCGTCCCCCCACTCCCCCCGACCCTGCGCCCTCTGCCTCCGCCAAGCCCGCCCCTGCCACCCCCCTAGCCACCCCACCCCGCCGACCGCCTCCCCACCCTAGGCCGGCCCCCGTCCCGTCCCCCAGGCGGCCCCCACTGCCCCCCAGGCCAGCCCCACCCCGCCGCCCCCCACAGGCCGGCCCCCAGCCACCGGCCACAAGGGGTTCGGCGGGCGGGGCAGCAGCCAGAGCCCGGCCTCGAACACTCCACGCGAGCAGCGGCCCAGTCCCCCGGCCCCCGCCGCCTCACCTTTTCAGGCTCATCCTCCAGCTGCTGCCGTTGCTCCAGGTAGATCTGCCCCACACGGGCCAGCAGGTCGCGCGGGGGCACGAAGACTCGGGAGCTCAGGAGAAACGTGAAGATGTACGTCCTCTGAAAACGGCCGGGACAGCCAGTGAGGCGGGCGGGGCGGCGCGGGGGCTGGAGGCGTCGCCTGCCCGGCCCCGAGCCCGCCCGGGCCACACCCGCACCTTCCCGCGCTGCAGCCAAGCCGTGCTCCGCCCCCAGCCGTGCTCCGCCCCTAAGCCGTGCTCCGCCCCCAGCCGTGCTCCGTCCCCCAGCCGTGCTCCGCCCCCCAGCCGTGCTCCGCCCCCAGCCGTGCTCCGCCCCCAGCCGTGCTCCGCCCCCAAGCCGTGCTCCGCCCCCAGCCGTGCTCCGCCCCCAGCCGTGCTCCGCCCCCAAGCCCCACGAGGGCGCCGCAGCCGGGGCGCGCGCGGGACCGCGGCACCCCCTAGGCCCGGCTCGAGGCCTGTGGCCGCTCCAAACCCCACAGGGCCCGCTCCTCAGCGGGGGCGGGGCCTGCCCGGCGGGAGCGTGGATGGCGGGCGGGGCTAACAAGTGGGCGGGGCCTAGCTGGGCGCGTGCCCAGTGGGCGGACGCGAGTGGGAGCGTGGCACGCAGGCGGTGCTTACCCCTGGGTGGGCTGACTGGCAGGGGTGTGGCAAGTGGGCAGAGCTGACAAGCGGGTGGGACTCAGCCAGGGACGGGCCGACTGGGGGCGTGGCAAGTGGGCAGGGCCTGACCCGCGCAGGTGGGAGACGGTGGGCGGAGCCGGCCCGTGTGCGTGGGGGGGCGGGGGCGGGGGCGCGGGTCATGGCACGGTCGGCAGAGCTGACCTATGGTGGGTCTGACCATTGGGGGCAGGGCATAATGGGACCCCGCTCCTGTCTCTGACCAGCTATAGGCCTTGACCCCACCGGCCACACCAGGGCCCCTCCGTACCATGTCCACGTGCCCCCTCTCCGGGATCTTGACAGTCTGGACTGAAAGGCCGTGGGGGTCACGGCTGTCTGCCTACGGGCTCTTCACACTGCCCTGCCTGTGAACAGGGGGGACTTGCGGGTGGGGGCGCTGTTAGGTCCGGACCTCACTCTGCCGCACATAGCTGCTGTGCGCTGGGCGGCCAGGACTCTGCCCCTACTCCCAGCCGGAGGAACCAGGTTTTCCTTGCTCCAGCTGGAAGCAGGCCGGCCGCGCTCGGTGGGAACGCAGCCTCCTGGAGCAGGACTCGGGGGCCTTGGGCCCCACGCAGCCCACCCTGCAGCATCAGGGCTGCTCTAACCTCCCACAGACTCCCCGTGACCTCCCCAGGCTGTGCAGCACTGGCACTCGGCGGTCCCAGCCGGCAGGTGGGACTCTCAGGGTCCCCCTTCTAAGCAAACAGCTTAGATGTGGAGGGAAGGCCCACCACCGAGCTCTCAGCCAAAGGCAGGGGCACCCAAAGGGGAAGCCCGCGCACCTCCGAGGAGCATGGAGACTGACTGGTGTGCGCGTGTGCGCACGGGCGCGCGCCAGCACGTGTCTGCTTGCCCATGCATGCAGGGTGGTGGCAATGAGGGAAGGGCGGGGTGGGGGAAAGAGAGGACCCAGGGGCTCAGCAGAAGAGCCAGTGCCCACCCGGACAATCCTGCCCCGCCACCCTCTGTTCTCTCCTGGGAAGCAGGTCAGGATCCCGAGGCACTGTTCTGGGACTCCACAGGACTCCTCTGGGGCAGGCTGCTGGGAGGGCCAGCCCCTCCCCCAGGCCGCCTTCCCGGGCCTTGGGCCCAGCCCTTGGCGCGGCGCCCAGGCACTCAGTGGGCGTGTGTGCTCGCGCGCGCAGCCCCCGCCCAGCCTGACAGGGTTTACGGGGTGGACGGGCGGATGGATGGAGGACGGGACCGTGCAAAGCCAAGCCCTCCCAACCCTGGGCTAGTGGAGGTGGCCCCGCAGGTGGGGAAGCCAAGCTGACTCCCAGGGCCAGCAGCACAACTGCCCTCTGGAGGGAGAGAGGAAGCACAGCGGAGGCCTCCCAGAGGAAGGATGCTCAGCTCACAGAGGGGGGCAGGCAGGCTGCAAGGCCAGTGTTGCTAAGAGATGTCACCGGTCAGAGAAGGGGAAGTCCCACTTGACAAGGGAACGCTTTCTGTTTTGAGAATGTATGTGTGAGGCCATCTTGAGGCGAAGAGGGAGGATCTGGGTTGTTGAACCACCTGCTCTCCAGCTCTGCTCCTCCCTGTCCCCGGATCTGCATGGGGGGGGAGGGGTGGCAGCCGTCCCCTTTTCATCCTGGACCACCTGACTTTATGCACAGAACGAATTTCCCAGCCCAGCCGCTGGCTCCAGGACTCAGACCTGCCTCCTCAGGACTCTTGAAACTACTGTCTTGCTCCCCAGAGCCCCAGCCAGAGCTCAGGCCCCTGGAGCCCCTCCACCCGCGGCCTGGGGAAGCAGCCGGGAGGCCACTGCAGGTTCCTCAGGCGCCTAGGCTGGGTGGGGGGTATGTGCAGAGCACAAGGCAAGATGGCACCGGAAGCGAGGCTGGGCCCCCACCGCCCAACCCCCCAGGCTCCGCCCACCTCTGCAGCTCTACCTGGGCTCCCTCTCCTCCCAGAAGCAGCCTCCTGGGGAGCCTGGGTCCCGCCCATCAGCCACACCGCCAGGGGCCCTTGGGAACTCACGTCAGGGTAATAGTCCACCCTGGGGACCAGGTGCTCCATCAGGGCCTCCAGGGACCCAGAGATGAGGCGTCCCTCTTGGAAGATGAGTTCTCCGGAGGCGCCGCCAGCCCCACCTCCCCGCTCCCCCATGCCGGGCTGCGCCTGTCCGCTACAGCTGGGCCCGAGGCAGCTGGAGAAGACGACGGACGTCTGGGGCATGGTTTCCTGAGAGAGAAGGAAGAGGCGGTGAGGCATCCAAGGCGCCTCCACGGGCCCCTCCCAGGCACAGGTGCACGGTGAGCCCCATCAGGGCCAGCGAGGGGCACCTCAGCCCCAGGGCGGGCTCCACAGTGATCCCCAGCTGCTGCACATCTGATCAGTGTCCCTTCAGCACCTGCTCCCTGGGCTAGTGGAGGTGGCCCCGCAGGTGGGGTGCAGGGAGCACCCCACCTGCTCCCTGCACGCTGGGGTTCCACCCAGTAAAGAGACAGAGGCAGCAGGCAGTGTGTGGCCAGGGTGGCCCAGGATGAGGTGGGGTTTGAACTGCTATTGTTTGCCCTGCAGCTCCAGGGATGAGAAAGGAATATCCTAGGGACAGTGGGTGCCAAGGTCCTGACCCAGTGTGTGTGCAGGGCCGAGCAGAGGGGCGGCCTGGGCACTCACACCATGACCACTGCGGGCGGGGTACGGTGCGCTGCTTCTCTGAGACACGGACCAGTCAGTGTGTTGCCACAGCCCAGCAAGAGGCCGTCAGGTAAGGTGGTCAGGGGAGCAGGGCTGACCCACACTGATGGATGGTCCCAGGCTGCACAACTGACTGGCATGAGGAAGGGCATGAGGGCAGGACTTGGGGAAAGATCTGGAACTTGCTTTGGGATTGGTGGCATCCGAATGCCCCTGAGATGCAGATGTCTGAGCAGGTGGGCAGCAGCGTGGTAGGCTAGGTGCTCACCCTGGACTGTCTGCTATGGCATGGCCCACTGTGACAGGGCCCGAGGTCCCTGCCTCACACTGCAGCTGGGAGCTCTCGTGAAGTCCAGGGGAGTCCGAACCATTTGGGCCTCAGTTTCCCCACTGCCCCAGACAGCCAGCCACACCTGGGAAGGACCAAGTGGGGACAAGGCGATGTGGCATTTGCCAGCCAGGACCTCTGACACTCGTGACACAAGTGTGGCCTGTCCTGGCCTTGGCTGGCACTTGGGCAGTCACTCCCTCCCCACCCTCGGAAGGCAGACAGGCACAGGTGCAGCCGGCTGGGGTCAGATGGAGGAGCCAGGCCCTCCTGCCACAGTGGGGCACAGTCTAGACCGAAGGCTGCCCTGCTGCTGTTGCTGGCAAGTGGGTGCTCTGCTCCAGCACTGGCTCCCAGGCACAGCCCAAAGCCACATTGCCATGGGGCATTATTCAGAAAGCAATGGAAAGTTCCTCCACAGCCCCCTGTGGGTGGAACCTGGGGAGGGGTTTTCGAGGGTAGAGACTGGGGAGGGGTCTGGTAGGGGGGCCTGCAGCACACAGGGGTTCAGCAGGGCCTCAGAACCCTCTGAGGGAATCGGCGGAGCCCACAGGAGCCACGTAGAGCCACTCTGGCCCAAGGGTTACGGATGCCCCAAGATCTCCCCCTCCTACTTCCCCTAAGAGCCACTCGAGATGCACCCAGGGGCACTGCCCCAGCCCACAAACCAAGTCACTGCAGGACCTAGGGAAGTCCCCAGAACCCCTCCCCATCCAACCTCAGTCCCTGGCAGGGTCCACTCCCACCTGGCCACCAAGCACTTTGAGGAGGTCTCCATGCTGAGTGCTAGGTGGGAGAGGCAGGGTCCCTGCGTGGCTACTCCCGGGTGGGACGAAGTGCACCCTCGGGTCAGAATCCCAGCTCTGCCACAGGCCAGCTCCTTGCTCCTGGCAGTCTCTCCAGCCCTCGACTTTCCACAGCATTTCAGCTGCCTGGCATCACCACCGCTGCCTCCACCCATTCTTGAGGTCCCTGAGGTCTCTTCTGTTCTTGCACTGGGTCCTCCTCTTCCATCCCAGCAAGAGCAGGAACTGTGGCCTGTGGCTGCACACCTGTGTCCCCGCCCACTACTGGGCCCCTTCTAGAGGAAGGGCCACTCAGAGCTGAGCCCCAGGCTCTCTGGCTCCAGTCTCAGGAGCTCAGCATGACAGCTAAGGCAAGAGTACCTAGCATGTTAAGGGCTCGAGTTGAATGGTGTCCTCTTCTCCCCACAGTAACCCCCTCCCCCAGGCATTATTCTCCGCAGGCTGTAGATGAGGACAAGGTGCAGAGGGCTGACAGCTGCCCCAGGTCACGGCCAGACCACAGCAGCGACCGGATTCAAGCCAAGCCAGCGGGCAAGGCAGGCAGGCTGACCTGAGCCTGAGCCTGGCTCAGCCACTTGTCGGGGCTTTGTCAGGATCCTCGTCTGTAAAATGGGCACAGCGAGTGCTACTTCAGAGGGTTGCTGGGAGGATAAAACGAGCCCTTGTGTAAGGTGCCAGGCACCGGAGGCATTACCACCCCCAGGAACCACACCCACCGGCCTGGCTGGTCAGCGCCCCTGCAGGCCACACGGGTGCCCAGGACACAGGTGCCCTGAGTTCTAGGCACAGAAGCCCGATGCTCTAAAGCCAAGTGTGGTTCCAGGAGCACACGCAACAGCACCTTTTCTGAGTCAGAAGCCCTGGCAGGAGTGGGCCTCGCAACCCCTCCCAGTGGCTCAGCTGCACGCTGAGTTCTGGACCCCGGGCCAGCAGCAGCAGCAAGCCCCAGTCAATTATTAAAATGCAGTGTTTCGAGTTCCAGGCCAGGCCTGCCAGGTCAAACCTGCATCTGAGTGAGACACACAACGTGATTAGTGCGCAGGTGGCTGGGGGCCCAGGAAACCTGCCCCTCTGAGAGTTTCAGTCTTAGGTGAGCGGCAGCAGCTAAACCAGGTCAGTGCCCTCGTCTGTGGGCACAGTCTTCCAGGGACTTCTCATAGACACTGCCCAGCTACCCCCAGACTCTGATTTACCTGGTCTAGGGGGCAGCCAAGCACGGGCATTTCCCCAGGTTTTCCAGGGGCAATGGGAGCAGGAGGCACAGGCAGCCCCTGTGCAGAGCTCAGGAAGCCCCTGGCCCAGGCAGAGGCAGGCTGGGTGGGCCAGCTTCCCACCCAGCATCTGGAGGACCCTCGTCTCTGCCCCAAGTTCAGCTGGGCTGGCCTGGATGAAGCAGCAGCCCCTTTGTGGGAAGTAGGGGACAGGCTGGCACCCAGCCAGCCTCCTCTCGACTCCTTGCAGCTCCTCCTCTGTTCAAGAAGGAAGGCAGGCACCTTCTAATTATAGACCTAATCAACTCAGAAAAAATGTGCTCAGAGCGAGGGGGTTATAGTGACTCATTGTCTCCTAGAAGATGGGTCTCACCACCTCCAGTCTCCCACACAGGGCTGCTGGGAGTGGGGGCAGGTCCAGGCCACCAGGCAGAGGGGCCTGAAGGTGCAGCAGCCAGTGAGAAGGCCACACCCCTCCCTGCATAGCTGCAGCAGCACTGTGGGTGGCCACAGGTGCTGGGAGGCTGCCTGGCAGAGGCTGAGGCCCTGCGCCATGTGCCAGCCTGGTGGGCTGGCCAAGGGAAGGTGGGCAAGGCAGCAAGGCACAGGGGCTTTCTGCACTACTGCCCTCTCCCCAGGCACCACCCTGCCCAACCGCGGCTGTCCTTGCCCTCCAGGCTCAGCCTGAGGGGCTCCACCTAGTACCCCTGCTGCTGTCCCTAGAGCAGCTGCCCCTCATGGTCCAGCACAGGTGGTACTGCCCTGCGCAGTACCACTCACACAGGGAAGCACCCACGCAGCCCCCAGCGTCTCGTGCCCTGTCTGCACCCACACGACTGAGTCTTTTCTCTTGGCTGCAGGCCCTGGGCAGGCTCTGAAGTGGAGTAAGGAGTCATGTTCTCTGTCTCCATGTCCATGGGGCAGCCACTGAGCTGCTCTGAGCCTCAGTTTCCTCAGCTGTAAACTGGGTATAGAGTTTCTTGTCCCACCTCCCTGCAGAGCAGTGGGGAGGGTTATGTGAGAAGGCAGAAGCTGATGTGGTTATATCCCTGGAGCAGCACCAGATGTGGTCACGTGCCACATCTGTACCTTGCTTCAGTGGCACCCGACTGGCCCAGCACCAGCTGCCACTGCTTCTGACCTTTGGCTTCTGACCTATGTCCTCTGATCTAGGGCCTCAGAGCCATCAGCGCACACCACACCTCCTGCTCCAGAATGCAGGTTCTGAGACGACACGTGGGCCTGGTGCACAACCCTGTGTGCACACCCTATAGGCACACTTCCACCCACGGGACACAGGGGCAGCAGGCAGAGCCCGTTCCTCACCCCACATGGACTATTTGGGGACACAGAAGCTTCACAGAGCCTCCCCAGAGATGTCCATGGGACCAGCTGAGGGAACACACCCCGGCGTCTCAACACACTTCACGCCCCGCTGCCCGGGCTGCAGTCCCGGCGAAGCGCTCCCACCGCGCTTTCGCCTCAGCTGACCCCGGGAAGCTGGGCTTGGAGAAGAGCAGCCGTTTGAGTCTGTGCCCCTCCAACATCTAGCACAGCCACTTGCTGATGGCTCCGCGGTACCCAGAGGGTGATGGGTCAGATGCCCAACACGGACACACAGGGGCCAGGCCTCCCCCAGCTGTTACTCCCTGTGTGTGAGCTGCAGCGGCCACACTGTCACACCTGACACTGACATCTGAACTTGACAGCGGCTGTGGGGTGCACAGGGGAGACAGAGGCAGTACGAGTGCTCACATGGCAGTACGAGTGCGCGTCAGTACAGACAGACGCTGCGCCGGGGGTCTGCCAGGCTGGCAGCAGGAACATGGCCCTCAACCTCTGGGATCCTTTCTGGAAGGTAAATTTTGGAGCTCTGGATTAGTACAATCCAGGTGAGAGGCCCCTTTTAGGGGACACAACCAAATACGTTAGCTTCTGAGTGCTCACAGCTCCCCCACAATACACACACATATGTATGCACAGGTGTGTGTGCACACAGGCACACATGGGTGCACATGCAGGTGCATACACAGGTGCACACATAGGTGCACA